TGGACACCTCGAAGAGAGGAACCCTTTCTCAGCTTTCTGAGTCCATAGATGTATTGACAAAGGACCTGCTCACAGAGCAAATTAACTATGAGGGAAGGAATCACATCCCTGTGGAATTCAAAGCTCCAAGAAACTGGGTGGAAGATGCACAAAGCTCTTCTCCCAAACCAGGACTGTTCTCCACACCATCCAGAAAAGCTGCTCCTGTCAGGGGACAGACTTTGCTGTTTTGCTGCTTCACAGAAGAGGAGAAAAACTTGTGGGAGCATTATAAAAAATACTTCTGGGTGATGGTGGAGGATGCTCCAGTTTTCTGTCATTCTGGCTGGGTTTTTATTCAGTCAAGTATTAGGAGAAATATGTGTCATGTTTCCCATATCACAATTTGCAGAGTGTTTGTTCTCATGCTAAATGCTGTTCTGGCCTGCAGTGCCAAAGATCTCCTGGTAATATTTATACAACCAGGGCATCAGAAGAATAGTGCATTTAAAGGGCTTGCAGATACCATACTAAAAAAGACATACAAATTAGGACATTTAAGAATACTCCGGTTTTTTCACTAATTCCAAGTTTTGGACAGTACTGAGGGGATTTCCTTTAATGGCTACCCTGCAAACATCTGGGATATTCATTTAGAGCTGTCCCTAAGGAAATACCCCTCTCTGTGCTCTGAGAGCCTTAACACTGTGGAGTTTAGGAGTCACATGCTTTGCATAACACAGATTAATGGCACAATTCAATAAATACTGCGGTAGTGCATTGTGGTGCTTTATTAGTGTTAGACATGCAATACTTATTTAATGAACAGAAATTAAAATATTAAGATAACATTTTAATAAAATTAAATGATCTGAAGTTGCAATAATGGAACAAAAATAAAGTTTTTCATGCATTCTAGGTTTATAGTTCTCACAAGTGCATATAGTTATGATTCTGTACCATTATTAAATGTGGGCAAACTACCACTGATTGCACAAGACAAAATAAAACCCTTAAGTTATAAGTAATGTTCCTATCTTTTACAGACTTTGAATATAACCTGGATTTTCAGCTTTTTATAATACATCGTAATACAAGACATCTGGAAGCTTCTAAGATGAACAGGAATGGCTCAACCACTTGTAACATACAGTGGCTTCTTCAGCATAGAAATTATAAAAGACAAAGCAAATGCCCACCATGCTTTAGGAGACTGTGACCTTTTCAACAGAAACAAATCTCAAACCCCTTCATAAACAGATTAAAGTGCTACCTATTGCATATTAAATACTTCCAGTGACTGTATCAAAATTTTTAAGTTATAAATCCCTGAAAATAGGGTTTCCTACCGGAAGTGCTGACAGACCCTTAAATCTAGCATCATGAACACAGCAGTGCTATAATCCTTCAGCAAGTACTTCAAAGAAGGGGAAGAGAGTCAACATGCTCTGAAGCCACCATTGTAAAAGCCCAGCTAATGCCTCTATCATATCTACAACAGCAGTGGTACATGAAGAGCAGAAAAGCATGAGCTCACTTTACATACTTGATGTAGGACAATAATCTTTCTTTAAAGCTGGAAGTGTAAATAAACCCCCAGTGCAGCAGTAAACACATTAAGACAGCAGTTCTCTTTGTTTTAAGATGCATCTAAGAAAGGGTATCCTGTACAGAAAGAAATGCAGGCTAGGATCTAATGAGCATGATTTTCATCAGGTCCCCAAATCATGAAACCTTTCTAAATACAAGGCAACATTTCCACAGCTGGAAAATTACAAATAGTTCCTGACACAAAGCCAACAGCAATAAATGCAGTTATAATCTAAGGAGAATTCTACATTCATTAGGAGGTGGAAAACCAAGCTAAACATAAAATACAGCAGCAAGAGGTAACATATATAAATATTAAACATCCTTCTTGAATGGCAGAAAGCTTACATTTCTGACTTACAACATTAAAGTATGGCCTTCATATTTGTCCTTTTAAGTAAGCAAAATACATGGCTATGAGAAGAGCTGTTTCAAAGGATAATTTCAAAGTATAGTGCATGCATAAATGAACTCTTATGGTAATCTATGAGAGAAAATACCAAAATAATATGGAGATGTTCAAAATTTTCTTCCCTGTATTTTAAAGGGCAAGAAAGAGTGACCGCAAGTTTTCATGTTTCAAATGATCTGAAAGAAAGTCCACAATTTTATCCTATGGGAAAAACAAAACTTTCTTTGTTTTCAACATGAACTACTCTGTATGAAAAGTTTCCATTTGAAAGCTGTATGTTTCAACAAATACATGTGGGGTGAAGATGCTTTTTAAAAATAGTCTCAGAATACAGGAAAAAGCTACATTTTTTTTTCTAAGCAGAAAATGATGTGTATGTTATCTTTCAAGAATTGCTCCAAAAGCAGCCTGTATCTTTACCTATGAACTATAAAAATATCTTTATAGCTGTTAACATCCCATTCTGCCTCTCAGTAACTTTACATTTTCCTAAATTGCATTTGTTGTTCTCCCCTCTTTCTTGACAAACTGTTAGAAACAAAAGGTGCTTTTATTCACTTAGAGATCAGATAAAGACTAGATAGCACATTCAAAGCCTCACTAAATTTCTTCACTAATGCACAAAAATTGATCTTTTCGCTACCTTTAATCTGCTTATCGTTCTCGGTATGCAAATATGTCAAATGATCTGCTTTTAGTCAATTATGCAGTTTGATATTCTACATTTACATTCTAAAAGAAGTGATTTCAGAGGTGCTAAATATAGTAGAGTTTCATTTTAATAATTATAAGTTGGCTTGCATGTGAGAAGTCATTGGAGCACATTCTCTGGTTAGTGCAGTTGTTAATCCTCAGTGGTGTGGATGATTTAAGCACTGTGGATACTCGAGATGGTCTCATACCAGTTAGCTGAAAATAAGTGTGGAATTCAAAACAATTGCAGAACATTTCCTCATCAACGACATGAGAAAACTGCTGGCTTCAGCCAAGCATTTCAAAATGTTTAAGAACTTTTATGGAAATACTGAGTAACTGAAATACATCTTGGTGTAATTAGAAAATGAAAATCCAATTGAGTGTAAACCCCAACTTCCAACAGCAAATGTACCATAAACCTAGTACATAAACTTTGGCACTTTGAATACATTACAACAAATTTACAGTCATCGAGATCTTAAGTGGGTCAAAAGAACATTCATGTAGTTTCTGAGGTACCAAACTTGATACATCCTTAGGCTGACAAAAGAGAGACTGCCTGGTATGGGATGGATTTCTGCATTACAAAATACAGATGCAGAGCTCTACAGCTGGACAGGGCTGGGATCTCTCAGGATCCATCCAGGCACAGGGATCCACACTCAGAGATCCCACTGATGGGTTGGGAAGTCTGGCTGCACACATTTTAGGGACAGTGCTAAATGGGGATGGGAGGTAGTTGCTAAATAAAAGAAGAAAATAAAGGAGAAAAAGTTAAAAATAAGTAAATGAAATCTGAGAATATTTGTTCAAAGAAGATTTTTTTGTAACTAGAATAATTCTGTGCTGTCCTACAATACTAATGTTGTCAAAAGCAGTCAGAGAGAACTTTCCCAACACTTCCACATATAAGTGTTCAAGATATTACCAATTTCTGCAGTTTTAAAGATGAAAAGATATTAAAATCTTTTACAACAACAAGAAAAAAATTGGAATTTAATTTCAAGCTTTTCTGGTCACCTCAGCAGCAGCCATGTCATGGTGCTGTAAAAAAACCCCAACAGATCAGGTGCAGAAACAGAGGAGAAGACAGTTATCTTACATACAAATCTAAGATATTCTCTGTATATGTTTTAAATAGCATTTTACTGTTTCACAGCAACAGAAAATCCAATTAAGATTCTTATTAAGGAAATTAAAATTAAAATCTATTCATCTTAATATTTAGAGGGTTCTCCTACAGTATTTTCTCATTATACCTTCATTATATTTTTTCCAATTCATTGAATAAAAGATACCTTTTTCGTACATCATTTTACAAACAATTATTAAATGTTCAGGGAGATATTTACTACATTCTTCTTTCATTTACCTCAATGAAAACTGACTTTTAGAACTATATACATGGAATACAGACATTTATGATGAAAAGCCTAAGTATTCTATAAGTGTTAAGCAACATGGCCTATTCCTAAAGGCATATACTTTGTTGTCTTAAGATTTAAAAAGTTAAGACACATATATCATGTACAATTCAACCTTAAACTGATTTATCATGTCTATTTAAGTCAGCCTCTTCACTTCTGCTACATATTCATTGCAGGAGAATTTGACTGAACAAAAGTATTCATTTCTTTATTCCATACTTGAGTCCTCTGGTTGTACCTGACTCTGTGAACTTTTAACACATAAAGAGGCATGCAGTAACTTCATATGAAAAGATCCTTAAAACAACCTGTCATGAGCTCACTTCCAAAGTTCACTCGTTATACACAAAATTCAGCATTTAAGTGTAAAATAACTGGTTCCAGCATGTGCCATGACAGAAATGGCACTTTTTTTTTAAATATTATTATACAAAAAGCACATTGTGTAGAATACAGCATTTACTCTGCAAGGATTGTGCATCACTGTTTTCCTCTAATATGTGCAGAACTACATTCCATTGCAACAAACCACACTTAGGTTTAGTAGAGTACTATGCTGGATTGAAAACAGTGGTCTGGATGGCATGCTGTAAAAAAAAGAATCAATATATTTGACTAATACCAATAATCATTCAAGAAAACATTCATAACAGCACAGGCTTCCCAGATGAAACTGCCACATGGTGAACACTAAGCTATTATATAAACTACATGGACATATTTATTATGTATTATTGACTCCATTTTAAGTATTCTGTACCTAAATGTATTTTCAAAAAGAAAAAAAAAAAAAAAGTTACCTAGGTAATCTAACAGAAAACAACTTTTGGCAGCCCCTGCTAGTGTTTGGATTAAAAAAAAAAAAAAAAAAGTTCCCTAGGAAATCTAACAGAAGACAACTTTTGGCAGCCCCTGCTAGTGTTTGGATTAAAAAAAAAAAAAAAAAAGGACAGAAAACAAGCCATTGTCTCTCCTCCTCATTTTCATGGAATTTCTTAGGAGAAAAGGAATGAAGAGAAGTCAAAATATTAAAGTGTGATCTCCTTCCACTAATGTATTCAGCAGAAAGTGAAAGTACCCTCGAGTACCGCTGTCTCAGCTTTTGGAAAATTTGCCAGCTTTCCGAGAAGGTTCATATGGCACTCTGAGAATACTGGGTGTTTCCTCCATCACTCGTACCAGAAGATTGTCAATGTAATCCTCGAGCTCACGAATGTGGGTGTCCTTCTTCTTGAGCTGCTCTTTGTGTTTCACCAGCTCCTGCAGAACCTCCTCATAAGTCAGGTTTCGGTATCCTGCAGTGGCATCAAAAGGATTTCCTTCCTGCAGGTAAATGTAGAAAAACACCAGATTTTATTAAGCAGTTCAGTGTTCCCAGAAAATTGATTTGTTATTGCTTTTTATGTGCATCTCTTGACATGAAAAACAATTTTTTTCAGCAACATCTCTGTCTGCTGCAGTGTTTTTCCCTCCGACATCCCCACTGAAGCAGACGACTGGAGATGGGCTGCCCAGCTGGATGAACATTTCCCACTCTGTCATCTCAGAAAAAAATCTTCTCCATGAGGTGGACACACAGTCAGTGTGTCAGAGTGAGTGACCATACGAGCAGGGACCACAACAACAGCTGGCAGGTCCATTTTGGGAAACCAACCACCTTAATTATATAATAAAAAGAGAAGAGCCCTGAGAATTCAACTCCTACTTTAACTTGTCTGAGTTTTTGCCTCTGGAGAGCATCACAGCAAAGCATTTACCCAGCTCTGAATGACATCAGCCCTCATCTGTCTTTCATATTCATATTTTTAGTCACCAGTGGTTCTCCAGGCCTTGGCTTCTGAATCACATAATAAAACTTTCAATTTTAAATCGCAGGTGAAAGTAAAAGATTGCATCTTACTCGCACCAGAACACTTAAGGCAGAAATAAATGTGTACTTATAAAAGACCTTGCTTTCTTTAAAGCAGGAGTGGCCCAGAATTAAGGAGTAGGGAAAAGAGAGTTGTTTCTGTCTTGATTTCTGATGACTCAGTAAGTGCAGGTATGAGCAGAGATGGACAAATTAGTCATCTTATAAAGGACAGCGTGTGATCCAAAAGACTGTAAACTTGAATGTCTTCTTTCATGTTGTTTTGTAAAAGCATCAGCACTGCCAGACATGTTAAGCAGCACACTTCATCTCATTCAGAAATGAAAATATTTAGAAAATATGGAACCCAAAAGATCCTGCATCTCTAACAGGGCACAAGAGATAGCTTTTGTTCACAATAGAAGTTTGTAATTAAAAATTATAAAGCTTGCACTGCTAAGAGACACACCACATAGCAGCCAAACTCTGTCTTTTTCCATGTCCCATTCTTTTCTTTCCATCCAGCTCCATATTTGCACATTGGCACATGTCGACCCATTAAAATATGCAGCTGGCCTAAGTTTTCAGAGGAACCTAATTAAAAGTGATGGTGCCCTGCAAATAGGCTAAAGTGTGACACATCAGCCTCTCTCCATCAATTATACTCTAACAGTAGCTCTCAAAAATATCTGCTTTTAAGGGTTTCTCTCTGCACTTGAGACATCTGATGTCACATTTATGGACGTATATTCAGTATTTTAAATGTACCAAGTAAAGGGATGGTAAGTAATCAGTAACTCCCACTTCATTAAAATGGCTAACCTGATGGAATCTTTAAATTGGTTAGTAATTGATTTTCAATCAGTATAGAAGAGAAAATAACTTCACTTGATGGTCATATTTTTAGCACATTTTATTCTATGAGAAGGAAATAAAACTTTTCTTTATTAAAGTTTATTCTTTTTACTAAATTTTTGTACACATTGGAGAAAATATCATTAGCACTTATATGCCTGAAAGCTAGTGTTTCTCTTATTTTCTGATTTGGCAAAGGAACAGGAATTAAGGTGCAATAATGTTTTTAATTATGCAATCAAGTTTACTGGAAAATTGTGTGTAATATACATGCTTTAAAGATGCTTTATCATACACATGCTCTGTACACATCTTGGGTGGGGATAAGCTATCACATTAATTATGCAAGAAAATTCTAGCTGAAATATGCTAGTATTTAGAAATCAATATTGTTAAAATTAAGAAGATTGGGTATGTTCAGATTGAGCCAGTAGGTGATATTTAAATGTATAAGGAACACTTATTTCTTTACAAAAATAGGTACCACAGTTTTAATGCATAAGAATAATCTCAAAATGAATTTTTAAGAGAAAATAAAAGATTCTAAACAAGCCATGCAAAGAATGATTGTCTCAGCTACAAAACCCTGTTGGGGTACACGCTGCCAGCCAGAGGAGACCTCAGATAAAGTGAAGGCCTGGCAATCCTTGATCACCTCTTCATTGTTCTAATGAGGAATTCTGCTCTGGGAATATCATCTAAACTACTTTCACATCTTTTGTCCTACTTACTTCATCTTCCTTTCAGTTCTTAATTAGGCTTTAAAGAGCTCACGCTGCCCTTTCAACTGGCTACTGCTCCCATTTAAACACTGCTTTCAGAGACAGGTGTTGGCATCAGAGGAGAAGACATACAAACATAATTACAAAATAACATGCACAAGGAAGAAATATAATAACTTGGTGAGGGCTATTATTACAGAATCGAATAATAAATTACTTCAAACACCTTAGAAAGCAATCCTGAATATTTAAAAAGAAATTCAAATGGTTTCATTCAAAACTATGGTTGATATAGAGATTCTTCCCCACCTAATTTGTATTTTGCATTAAATGAGCGCCACTTCATAATCCTACAACTGACATTTAGGATGGCTGGTATTCCAAAAGTAAAATCATCAAGGATTTCTTTTATCACCTTTAAATCCTTTATATAAAACAATTCACATCTTATTTCTTAAAAGAATTAAACTGATGCTTTTACCAGCAATAAATTACATGATTTGCAGTAGTACATTTACAAGCACATAGAAACTGTAATTATGGTTACTTTACAGACAATGGCTGCTAAGTTAAATCAATTTTTTGATGTCTCTTTTTGTCAGAGATTAAGTAACTGCCTGGTAGAATTCAGTTTACTATCTGATCAAAGGCAGCCTTCAAATACTCTGACATCTCCCACCAGCTACTTACATTATAAAAACTTGGGCATTTACAATAACATCAAATGTTATTACAAATCATTTACATAAACCAGCAGAAAACAAACAGTACAAAGTCATATTTGCTTGTGAAACTTGTTTTCTATATATTTTAGAGATTGAAAACAAACCCACTTTTAAAGATGTCATCTATTCACAGAAAAAATTCTAGTAAGGCCACATTTTCCGTCAAACAAAGACACTGCCCAGGCAATCTGTGGATTATTTTTTGTCTTTTCTTAGTACACAATTTATTCTCAGTACTTTCAGAAACAAGAGCATTTTGAATAATACCTTCTAGTATTTCTACTTTTTAGTGTTTTCATCTGTTCATTTCTTATGAGTATTATTAATCCTACCACATATCAGGTCATAATTTCAATTTTGATCTGTCTTCTGAAGACTGCCCTCAAGTCTCTGATTATAGTGATGGTAAACTCCTGTCTGGTCAATTAATAAATCACTGCCTAATGCAGAATTCCTCACCTGACCATTACTTCTCTAGAGACATCTAAACCACTCCCAAAAATTCATGTTTTAGGAGTTTCTTACTTTTTGTGCAAAGAACTAAATATTTCCTTCTTCATCATATCACAGCTAACCCCATACTGAGTGCAAAATTCTTCTTTATTTACAAATTTACATTAAGCCTGTGCTTTTCTATTAAGATGGCAAGAAAATAAAACAAAAAAAAACCCCAGCATTTCCCTCTAAGTGGTTAAAAATAATAAAAGCTTATAAGCTCATACAAGTACCAATTAGTTGGCATTTACTGATGACTTTCCATAGAATTTCGTAACTCACCGTTTTTTTCCTGAGATCCTCAATGCCAGAAGGATTCACATTAAAACTGCAGGGGAAAAAAACCATACCAAACAAATATTAGCAGTGCACACTTCTTTGACCAAAATATCTGCTAGAATTAGACACACAGCTACAAAGTATTGAATGTGGTTTATCTTCTTAATTTGTTAAACTTAGGAAAAGAAAATATTAGAAATTAAAGGAAATTTTAATATATTTGTTGTTCACAATTCTTTGTATTTTTCATACTCTTTTTGTCATAAAATTTGAATAACTAATTAAGAAATTCAAGAAAGGCTATTATGGATTCGGCTTCCTTATCTATCTCTAGACTTAGCTCGAGCTTCTAAGCACAGAGTGCTACTTTAAATGAAATATACTAGAAACAGGTCCCTGGGATGAGTGATAAAAACCAACAACCAAACTCTACAGACTCACAAGCTGCCGGCTTTCATGGCAGCTCCTAGAGGACAAAGTTCCTGCAGAAATTCCACTGAGATCACCAGCTTAGGGCTAAGAAGCCATCTTCTGTCAGCTACATTTATTTTGTACTTAAAATTGAGTAAATAATCTATTATTTTATAAACCTAGTGATTATTGTGCATACCTAGAAAACAAAGCTCTCTCATAATGTTGATACTGATAAAAACAGCCATTGTCTAAATGTCAGGCTTAAGGAACTGTCCACTCAGACTGGTGTAATTATTAGCAAGTATCTTCAAAAATCAGTGCTGCTGTGTTCTTATGTACTTGCTACAGCAAGTTTGGAGAGAAAACATTCTCCAAAAATGTGTTCAGAATCTGGATATGGCTCACAAATATTATTTACTTAGTAGCAGCACAGCAGACACATTCTTTCACATCACAGAATCTGTTTTGTTAGACTGTGTGGACTGGCTTTGAGGGTGATGTGTGACTGAGAGTTACAAAAACATATATTACTATTTTTTTTAATTTTCAAGGTTTTTTTTTTATATTAGGGAACTTGTACTTTGTGACTGTTCACTACTCTCTTATCTGAATTTATAAGCCATGCATTTCATGGTGTAAAAGGAGGGAAAAAATTTATGAACTAAAAATATGTAAAATATAAATGATAATATTTTCCTGTAAAGAATTTTTTTTTATTTTAAATTTTCTTTTTGTTTACTTTATTTTTTTTTTATTCTGAATTTTTAATTTCCAAAGCAGGAAAACTCTTGCTCACACAGAAGTCCCATAAACCATCTGTGGGCTGAGGGTATTTGACAGCGACAGGATTAGAGGAACAGTCACAATCAGAAACTCTGAGGTGTCTGAGGAATCAAGTCTGGCTAATTCCCATTCTACCTGTTTGTAACAGTGATCCCCTGCCCCGTTTGCTGGAGACCACTTTTGAATGAGGGGCCTTTTCCATGGGGTATTGTCCAGGCAGGGTCCCTCCCTCCCAGCCTCCTTTCAGCCTCACACTGATGTGTCAAACACATGATGAACTCGCTCCATTCATGGCTGCCTTCCGTGATCCCAGGACAAAAAAAATGAGTTAACTGAACTGGATCGAATTAGCTTGGTGAAAACCAAGAATGTCTCTATTTAACGAAGTGTGGCGTTAATTTGGGATATCTTTCTTTTGGGACTGTTTCCTCATGTTAGACAAGATATAGAATAATACAGCCTGACTGCTCAACTGGGTGACTTTCTGAAAGGTTAAAAAAGCAGGATCTTTCACAGCCTTGAATGACTTTATAGTTTCTGTGAAATAAGTTCTGGGACTCTTTTTTTGTAGTAGCAGCTAAAAACGAAAGCAGCAGTTCTGACTATGAGAAGCTGCGTTTCAAAATTAGAAGTATAAATCACTGGAAGTACGGACTAGTTGTTTGGGTTTTTGGTTGTTTTTTTTTTAAGCAGTAAAAAACCTGCAGTCATTTCTGTAAACTTGTGGACATCATAACCGCAATTACAAAAGAGACCATCTGCGTATTTTGCACGAAGAAATTTGAATACACTTGCAAAATAAAAAAAGAAAAGCAATTAAAATATCCCCCAATAAAAATCCAAATGCCATGAAGACTCATGCTTTAAGGAGATTTGTAGAAAATATACTGCTTCTCGAGGACGAAACAGGTGCTGAGACTGCATATAATAACATTTTTCTAAACCAAAGTGTCTGCTAAGTAAGGTGGGAGCTCATCAGCCTTGCTGAGCCCTGCAAGGCTTCCTGCCAGTGCTCCCAGCCTGAGGTGAGTGTGAGCAGATACAGACTCCCACCACTGCACCCCTATTTCACTGGCTGAGGAGCAGGTAATACTTTCAAAAGAAAATTCTGTAAAATTATAAATGCAAGTTGGTGGAGTTGTCCGTTTGGTGTATTGAAATTCACCAGAGCATTTATTTTTTAAATTAAATTTCATCACAATAATAGACCCCAAAAAGTTACCCCCCTCACTTGATTACTGGCAATAATTAATAATTATAATAATTAATAATACAGGCCTCTAGGACTGCAGCCCACACTGCAGCCCACACTGCAGGCCACACTGCAGCACCACAGGCTTCCTTTGAGTAGCCATTCTCTTGACTTCCTAAAAGCATTCTGAAACTATTGATCTAAACAATTATAAAAAATATCATTGTTTTCTCCAGTTACACTCACAGTTCATAGTGATAGTATTAGTTATAATCCAATCTCAGTTTTTTCCCAAGGATTCAATAAACTGGCAGGGAACTCCTGCTACAGACGAAATTCATATGTTCACAGCTTGGGAAAAAATAATCTTTTTGGATTTTTGTACTGGTTTTTGGAGTGAGGCTTACTGTGAACAGTGACTGTGAAAAACTGGCCCTGTGGGATTCTATAATTATTGTTTGTCAATTATGTCCAAACTAAACTTGCTCAGTTTACAAGTGAAAAAAGTATTTCTTTTCTAATAAATGGATTTTTCATGTGCCTTATGTGCCTCCAGGTGATGTCTCATACTGATTTTTAACAGTTTGTCTCTTAGAAGTAATAAACTTTCATTCTCTCGGATCACCTTTAAGAAAGGAACTACTACAAGAGAGGTAAATGCTACCAGCAGAGATGAAAAATCAGCTGCAGTAGGATCATGGAAGTGACTCTGAGCCACCCAACTCACACATCACCCCTACCCTTCTCTAGGTACAACAGACTTCTCTAATCCAGCACAACAATTAGTCCTGTCCCCCATTCCACTCATCTGGGAATTCAATTAGTGTCCTTGACAGTTACCTTATATAACAGACATTTTTAACAGATTTAATCATATCCATTATTTTATTGTTCCATATTATTTTATGAACTTTCTTTTTACGTTTTTCTTGAATGGCAAATTTCTGGGGTTTTATTAGCTTAGATTTCAATTTTAGCTCATCTGACACAAGAACCCTTTTTTATCATCCTGCTCCTGAGAGGAGAAATAAAAACAGTATAAACTAATAATGGAGACAGATATACTGCAGTGCTGATTCTGTAGTGGTTTGGATTACTATTTCATAATCATAGCAAGCATATTATTTTGTACTTTACTGTTATTTTCTCTATTAAAAAAAAATTAATTACAACTACATGAAGCCTTTTTTTTTTATATAACACTTTTTTTTAACCAGTAACTAAATACTTCCATTCCATGTTGATAATTTACAGTTTGTATAGGAAGAATACAGTGGAGTTGAGTTCAGGATGTGTCACAAGCTCAAGTTTATGACGGCATCTTACAATTTTGTCTATTGAAGTTTAATGGTAGTTAAAAATTCAAGCATCAGGTCTAGTGGCTGCTTAAATATTTAGCTTCTGAATGCCTAGAGATTAAAACAAACTTTATCAAATCTTTCCTGTAACTGATTTAAACATTTTAGTGCCATTTAGTCTGACAACATAATGAATGGGAATCACTCCTAAATTATCTTCCATGGAAAGAATATTTTCTTAAGGAGCAAAAGCTTTTTACTTATCTTTTGCTATTCATACTAGTTACATGATAGTAGTGTATACAATTAGAAATTTAAATTAGGATATTTACATTAATCATTACTATTCAAAGTATTAAAATTTATGTTAACTTAACATTCTGTAAAATATCCATTATACCAATGAGCTAAGCGTGAGCTTTCCATTTCTTTCCTTTAATATGGAATGTCTGCATACAGGTAATTAGCAAAGCTCTGCCATACTCATTTTTCATTAGAGTTGAAATTCCTATTCCTATCCTACTTCTTGGTCTTTGGACTGATTCTTACTACAGTAACTACAGTACTTTTTTTGGGATTCTCACAACATGTATCAAAATTTTGAAATATTAGGATACCATTTAGGTTATTACTATTGCTCTAGGGAAAAGAACCCAAAATAAATGAATAAAATCAGATACAGTTAATGAAATTCAGAAACTTAGCCTTCCATAGAATACTGTCAGCCTGCTGTGCCTGGCAATGCAGAGCTCACTTAATATTCTGAGAAGGAATGACTGTCTTGTCTGGCAGCTAAACAAGTACAGAATAAGCATATTACCATTTATTTTGCAATTAGATTCTGGGGAACATCACTTAAGACACTTCACTGTATAAATTGGTCTGCTGTCAAGCCATGTTCTGTGGCCTTTTGGAGCTTGAGTAACCCCAGGAGGACACAAACAGAGGATCAGGTTTTGTGGCTATCACTGTATTTTCTTGATTAGCTAGAATTTTAAGTATATAAATATTTCTCCTTTTACTAGGAGTTGTGCTATAGAAAAAAAAGGTTTTTTTCTCCAGAGACCACTAAAGAACTGTTAGACTAAAAGTTGTGCCAGCATCTCCACTGGAAGACCCTATTATTAGACATCTCTAAGTCAACAACGAAGTATCAAACAAATCAAACAATCCTGAAACTGCATTTTACACTAAAACTTACAGATCCATTTTTGAATTATTAAAAGAGTAGAACTATTTCTCAGTTCTTATAATGAAACAGAAAAAAAGAGAAGTGCATTGCTATTACATAGTTTCTGCATTTGTTAAGAAAGAAACAATAGAACAAATTATTCTTTTTTAAAATGAAATAGAACAGGCAGT